CTGGGAGGGATCTATGGAAAAACAAGGCTTATTTTTAGTACAGTTGCACTCTCTCACTCGGGGTTTCATCCCTGTGCAGAAATGCAGAGGAAAAGGGGCTGGTAATAGAGATTTTGTTATTTTTTTGACATTGTAATTGTATTGTTGAAACTGCTGAGCGGCCTGCAGAGGCTCTGCCCCGTTTGCCCTGGTGCCAGGCTGTGATTACAGCCAGACAATGTGTGCCACAGCCTGCTGGAGCAAAACCTGGCATCACCTGGAACAGGCAGGGCTTAGGGTAAAACCAAGGGTCAAGTGTCTTCCTGGTAGGACAAGGAAGTAAGAAGAGCAGACACTGAGAAACTGCAGCTGTGTGGAAAAGGTTTAAAAAGCAGTAAGAAAAGGTGAATTCACCTGTCCTGGCCCCATCAGTTGAACACAAACAAAAGCCTGAATTTCTGACTGCTTGAAGGGAAGGTCCCCTGTTCTTTATTGGAGCTCAGCTGTGCTGGTTGGGATGGAGTTTCAAAATTAGTACTACTTCTCTCCATCCATCATTTCTACAGGTTTTTACTTCTGGGCAATGTCTGTAGTTCATAAACTTCAAAGTTTGCTGTATCTTGTGACTGCAGCCCAGTTGTTCTGTGCCCTGGCACAAGCCAGCCTTCAGGCAGTGTTCAAACACCACCGACGTGCTCTGTGTTTAACAAGTGTTTACATTCTCACCTGCTTGAGCAAAACCCTTCTGATTCCTCAGGCTGGCTGGCTGTTTCAACCAGGCTGGTTTTCTTCCCTTAGCCATAGATGAGTACAAGCCCCTGGATGCCACCACAAACCCCTCCCTGATCCTGGCTGCGGCTCAGATGCCGGCATACCAGAAGCTTGTGGATGATGCTGTTGCCTACGGGAAGAAGCTTGGTGGGTGAGTAAAGAGGGGTTTCATCTCAGCAGACCTATATTTAAAATGCCTTCTTTATATACAAGCAGTGTACTGGGGTTTCCCCCTCGTGCACTTGTGGGTTTGTCTCCTGCCCCAAAAGGCCTCAACACTTTGAGAGAGATTCCTTACGCCCATTCCAGATGTGTTTATCAGAAGTGTGTCCTCATTTCCCAGCTCACACCTGGCCCTCCCTGCTCAGGAAAGCAGCAGCACTGTAGGAAAGAGTGTCCAAAGGCTAATCCTGCTGGCAGGACAGAAGTGGCTCATTTGAACTCTGGAATTTAATGTTAAACGGGCTGTGAAATTTGATCTTCAAATCCACAGTGAAGTGTAAACTCACCTTTTTTTTTAACCCCCATAAATGCTTTTGCTCTTTATGGTTTTCAGGTCAGAAGAGGAGCAGATCAAAAATGCTTCTGACAAACTTTTTGTATTATTTGGAGCTGAAATCCTGAAGAGGATACCTGGCCGTGTGTCCACAGAAGTAGATGCAAGGTTGGCTCTTTTCCCTCCAGGTTATCCTGAATATTTGTAAATACAAAATGTGACTTGAGTTGGAGAAAGATTTTTTGCCTAGAAGACCAGCAGGACTTACATAATTAATATTTAAGAGTGTGGGTTTCCCTTAGTTTGACTAGAACTCTAAAAAAACAAGTAGCACTGACCTTGGATTTTTATAATCTTCCTCTTGCTGCTTACGCAAGGGAAACCTCATGCTTCCAGTGGTAGTTTTGCTAATTCTCTTCTCTGTGATAATAGCTGCTCAATTTAGCAAGAGATCTGTTTGAAGAGCTTTTTTTTCAAGACTTGCACAGGACCTGGCTGTTAATTTGCTCAGTGCCAATTTTTGTTAATGCTCAGCTTCTGAATTCATTATGAGAAACTTCCTTCTCGAAGGGCTGACAGTCCAGGAGGGATCTGAGAACACAAAAACCTGCTGCTGGCATGTAAATGCTGATAAAACAGGAGAATGTTTTCCCATGGGACCTTGGGGCAGAGAATTTAAAAAATAATAATAAATCATTTTTAAACAATGCTGCTCTTGCCTTAAAGGTTGTCCTTTGATAAGGAAGGAATGATTCAAAGGGCGAGGCGCCTCATCGACCTCTACAAGGAAGTAGGAGTTGGTAAAGATCGGATTCTCATCAAGCTCTCTTCAACGTGGGAAGGAATCCAGGCTGGCAGGTAAGGCTGTGGGTGCCTGGTGTGCTGATTCATGGCAAGCTCCTGCCTGTCCACAGGCACTGACATGGCATTCTGCACTTGAATAAACAGCAGTGCTGAAAGCACAGCTTGAGGAAGTCTGTCATGAGCACGGAAGGTGCCCTGCCACAGCCTGCTGTTGAAATAGGCAAAGTTTCTTCATACAAGGCCCACAGTTTCCTGAAATACCCTGCTAAGCTGGCTGCATGTGGCTAGAGGAACAGCATTAATAAAGTAGAGTTTGGCAGCACAAAACATTTGCTGTTAGTGACAACTTTAAAGCTTACCCAGTGACTCCCTTTCCTGAATTAACTCAAGGAATTCAGTAGTTTGAACTTAGCAGCTCATTCCCAAATATGAATTCTGTGGGTGAGCAAAGTGCTGTTCTAAGCCAGCCTGTGTCTGCAGGGTTCTGGAGGCCGAGTATGGGATTCACTGCAACATGACCTTGCTGTTCTCCTTTGCTCAGGCTGTTGCCTGTGCTGAAGCTGGAGTTACTCTGATTTCCCCGTTCGTGGGACGCATCCTGGACTGGTATGTTGCAAACGGAGACAAGAAAAGCTATGAGCCTTCGGAGGATCCAGGTGAGCACACTGCTGAGGAAACAACAGCTGCTCAAACAGTTCACTCATAAAAATCCTCTTATGGCAAAATGCTGGGTTTGAGCACATTCGAAACAACCACTTACAATAAAGTTGCTGGTTTCTACTTTTAGGAGTGAAGAGTGTCACCAAGATCTATAACTACTACAAAAAGTTTGGCTACAAAACCATCGTGATGGGCGCCTCGTTTCGCAACACGGGCCAGATCAAAGCCCTCACGGGCTGTGACTATCTCACCATCTCACCCAAGCTCCTGGCAGAGCTCAGCAAAGAGCACGTCAAGTTAACTCCCACACTCAGTGTCAAAGAGGGTGAGTCTGCTCCTGGGGCTTGTTCCAGCTTCCTTTCTTCTGCAGTGTTGAGAGTCTGGGGTTCTGGTCACTGCTGTGGTACTTGCTGCCATCCTGCTTTAGGGATAAATCCAATTTCCTAGAGGAAATACTGTAATCTCAGAAGGAAATACTGTAGCTTCAGTACAATATCACTGCTACAACTGCAGACACTGAGCACTGACTGGACTACAATGGGTTTGGAGTCTGCTTCCATACTCTGCACCTCTCCCCATGGGACAGGCAGAGAAGAGGAAAATTAACCTGCAGATGCTCAGGATTAAATTTGACTGAACAGTAGCAAAGATGCCAAACCTGGTTTCATCTTAATCTCTGGACATGCCAAGAGGTGTTTTCCCTCCAGAAATTAGAAACTAAGCATACACAAGACTGAGTGATTTGATCTGGTGACGCTGTGCCATGATGGCTTGGAATCCTTGTTCCCATTACACTACTTCAAGCCCAGGTTGGATGGGGCTTGGAGCAATTTGGGATAGTGGATGGTGGCCCTGCTTGTGGCCAGGGAGTGGAACTGAATGGGCTTTAAGGTTCCTTTCCACCCAAATAATTTAAGGATTCTCTGACACCCTCCCTTTCCTGCAGCCTCATTAAAATGCTGGTTTACATCTCAAAGCAGCTCTGTGCACAGCTGTAGCCATGGGCTGCTGCCCACAGGCTGCTGCTGGCCTGGGAGCCTGCTATCAAGCGAGCTTTTGTTAGTTCTTGCCAAATAATCAAAGCCCTGATTGTTCAGAATATTTGCTTAGAATGTCTCACTGCTGTGGGGTGGTTACACAATTCCTTAGAATAGGCCTGGAATTGCTGTGCCATTCTGCAGCAGGTACAAGATAATGACACACACAAACACGGTTTTAAGATAAACTGATTTATTAGGTTACCTTTTTCTCTTTGTTCTCCTCCAGCCATACCAGGAGCACTTTCAATCTCACATCCCAAATTGTGTTTTAAGATAAACTGATTTATTAGGCTACCTTTTTCTTTTTCTCTTTGTTCTCCTCCAGCCATACCAGGAGCACTTTCAATCTCACATCCCAAATTGTGCTCCTGCAGCAAGTCATACTGAAAGTATTTAAAATTTTTCCAACACCTAGAAATGGTCAGAACTCAAGACAATTTTAGGAAGTCTGGATTTGATAAGAATTTGATCACCTGGTCTGTTTGTTCTTCCACTTCTCCTGCACAGCTCAGGCGTGTGATCTTGAGAAGATCCACCTGGATGAGAAGGCATTCCGCTGGCACCACAACGAAGACCAGATGGCTGTGGAGAAGCTCTCTGATGGCATCAGGAGATTTGCTGCAGATGCCGTTAAGCTGGAGAGGATGTTAAAGGTAGGTATCGTGCTCCTCCTGTGCACTGCAGCCAGCCTGGTGTGGCTGAGGATTAAACAAGTCTGGGCAGGTCTTTGGACAGGTTATGTAGGACAGGCCACCTGAGTTCAGTGAAGCTGGTAAGCCTCGCTGCACGCCAAGAAAGAACTGGTGCCAAGTGTGGGCCACAGCTGCAGCCTGAGCCGCAGGCTGGCAGCTCATCAGGATAACTGTCAGAGTGAGAAGGCCCTTCAATCTGATCAATCTGATTCTGAGCTGGCAGCAGCAGCACAGGACACAAATAATCTGCAGGTAGTGAGCTGGAAATAAATCTTGTTTGTACCTGTAGGCACTAAGATAGAGCAGATCTGCTGTCAAAGTCTTATGTCAGATTGTGGAGAAGCTTTCACATAGGATTCATCAAACCGTTTTCTGGGGAAGAAATACTCAGTATACCTGATCTAGGCATTTGGTGACTGGCAGCTCCTTGCAGCATTCCCAAACTCTTACTCAGCTGTGCTTTGTTTATTCTTTCTCTAGGAGCGAATGTTCAGCACTGAAAATGGGAAATAAAAAAAAGAAAAAAAAATAATAATCAGCATTTCCCTGAGTGCTCCAAGCTGAGATGGATCACCTGAGGTTCAGTGGATGTACAAATGTCTTACCTGTACAAGTATCATGCTGTGTATGGATAGATTTCTGTACCATGCTTTTTTTTTTTTTAATCAATTTGCAAAGGGACAAATGGAATTTAAAATTTTTGTGGCACTTTTGTCAATACATGCAAATTAAAACCGACTTGCCTTGTAATATGGTCAATTCATTGCTGCAGAAGACATCTGATAGGATTTTAATCTTCAAATTCCTTATTAGGTCTTCAGTCCTAACACATTGAAGAAAAGAGTTTTTAATTTCAGGTTGTTTTAAAGAGCAAACACAGATTTCACAAGCCACTCTTGGTACAAAACCCACCAACACTCCTGTGAGACAAGTATCTATGTCAAAATATATATGTGTATCATAGTCATTTATACAGATCTTGTTCTATGAAGAGGAGACAAGAATAAGTGAGAGGACAACAAGGAAATGGCCTCAAGTTGTGCCAGGGAAGGTCTAGATTGGATATTAGGGAACATTTCTTCACTGAAAGCTGTCCAAGCTGGCCCAGCTGCCTGGGGCTGAGTCCCCATCCCTGGAGAGATTTAAAGACATGTGGATGTGGCACCTGGGGACAGGGATAGTGGTGGCCTTGGCAGTGCTGGGGGAATGGCTGGACTTGATGGTCTCAGCAGTCCTTTCCAACCTCAGTGATGCATTCCATGGTTCTAAGAGATCCCTGCTCATACATGGATGCAATTTGCTGTTTCCTGAAAAAGCTGCCTGAACTTAAAGGGAAAAAAGGCAGCAGTGTGGCTCCAGCAGTGACAGCCACGTGCTCTGTCCACACCAAGGGAGGCACTGATCCTCCCCCCAGTGTGACACAGCAGCTCTGCTGTCAGCACATCCAGAACAACCTGGGAGCTGCTGCTCCAGCCAAAGGCACAGCCAGCTGCAATCAGACACAGACAGCTGCTGCTCCCTCCCAGCCTGCCCTGGAATAGTGCCAGTCTGCCAGGGGGAGGTGAAGTCCCCAGGGGACTCATCCAGACCCCTGTCCTACAGCTGCTGGTGAGGGGGGAAGCAGACCAGGCAGAAAGCAGGCTGCCCAAAGGGAGGTGACCTTTCTTCCTGTCAAAGTCAAGCCAGCATTCAAAGCTTGACCCTGCCCCTCCCTACAGCCATTGGACACTGCACATCCCTTCTCAATTTAACCTATTTTGCATTTTTCACTCTTACTAAACTGAGAATTCCAACAGAGATTCCTAGAATGGTTTGGGTTGGAAGGGGAGCTTGAAGACCATCTCATTCCACCCCCTGCCTTGAGCAGGTCGCTGTGCTCTAACACCACACACTGCAGCCACCAGGGCAGGGTAAGGATTTGGGCACGCAGAATTTGGGGACTTGGTGCTATCCAACTGGCTGGTCAGAGGCTTGGAGCCTCTGGAATAAATGCCCCTTCTTCCCCCTGAGTGAGGCCACAACCTTCACATGCATGGAATCTGTCCCCTCACACAGCTGAGACACAACTGGGTCAGTAACAGCGTGGAGCTCAAATGAAACTGAAGCATTGCAGAAGGTGCTCAAGAGAGAATGAAATACTGCAGTGAAAGGGGAAAGAGGTAGGAAAAGGTGCCTGAGTAACAGTTAAGCCTTACTCCACCTACCAACAGATGCCTCTCAAGAGCTGAGGAGGCAAGAGGGGTCACGGGGTCAGTCACAGGATCCCTTCCTTCCTGTGGTGGCAGCAGGTGTTTCCTCCCAGCACTGGGGTTCTTTCTCTGCAGCACAGATGGATGTTGTGAGGTGCCTGTGCTAAGCCACAGAGCCCACATCCTTTCTGAAATGAAAAAAAACCCCAAGCACCACATCTACCTTCAGCTTGCACCGCTCTTTAGTCAGTCACACAAAGTTCACTCCTTAACTCTTCCTCAGCTTCCCCTTTCTTCTGCAGATGGAGGGATCTCTCCCAGGGCCCTGTCTGTGCCCTGCTTACAAACTCCTGGGATTTCCCAGATCTCCATACCTCCTCAGATTAAGAAATCAGGAGATGTCTCCTGTCTCTCAGGAAGGTCTGTGGCTCTCACAGCCACAAGGACAGGACTCAGGAATTAGGGGGGCAGATACAACACAGATGTTTGGAGAAATCCCAAAGAATAAATAGATAAACTTCAAAGCATTGATTTTAAAATGACAGCACCTTTCCCAACCTTTCCTTTGGTGGATGCTCTCTGATTTCAACATCCAGCTCTGTGCAAACACACAAAGCTTGGAGGGGGGTTGGAAAAGCTTTTCCTTCCTCCCATCACACACTGTGCTAAGGGAGACACACTGCTGCTCCCAGCACCTCCTCCATTCCTGAAACGGGGTACAGGAAAGCAGAGCTGTTGGAAGAACAGACAGAAAAGTCTGTTAAGACACATCCATTTATATTCATCTTTCCAACACGGAATTTAATTTAAAATTAGTTCTTTCATTTACTGGTTATGTCTGTCTAATTTAGCCATCACAGGCCAGTATGGATGGCACCAAACCCAGACAGTTCCATTTGAAATATTCAAGTAAATCAGGACCAAAGAGGCACTTCCATCTCTTCTGGCCCTTGTTTGAATGCACACAAGATGAACAAAGCAGCAGATTCCATTAAAAATATAAGTTGTGTGGTTTTTTTTTTTACAACATTATACTGTAGAAGCTCCAAGGAAGTAATTAAATATGCTAATAGACAAATTGAATGCTGGTATGACCAACAACCACCAGCTGCTGACAGGGCCAGAGCTCAAACTTCTTGTCAGGATCCTCAAGAACATGAAAACAGAGATCATACCCACAGGCAGGTCTTGGGGCTCTGCTTTCCAGAGTTAAGCAGATTCCCAACTGCTGCACCAGCACCCCTCTTCCCAGCTTGGTGTAAACCTGCCAGGAAAGGCTCCCATACCTTAGGGATGGTGGCTGTCCTCTTTTTGGGAGAAGAAATCCTTTGTGGGGTGCAGGACAGCAGTGCTCCTTTACAGCTGTGAGCCAACATCCAAGAAAACTCCTCATCCCTTTGGATTCATCCTGCTCCATGTGCTCCAGGGGCACTCTGATGCTTCTAGCAGGTACCTCCACATCTGCCTGCAAAAACATCAGAGGAAAACAGAGGATGTGGTCCCAGCTGTTAAGCCCAGAGAAGAGGTAACACTGCGAGTCCCATAAAAACAAATCAGTAAAACCCTAAAAAATAAAACCAAACCCCCACCCAAATAAATAAAACAATAAAACCCACCAGCTGGATGTTACCAGGAACAGATTTCCAAGGAAACAAGCCTGCCTGGTAACATTCCTAGGACCAAAGCACCAAGCATTGCACAACACAATGCTGAAACAATAAAGGTTTGTGTGGGATGAAAATCTCCTAAATTTGAAGGTTTTCAATTCTTTGGGAAACAAAGAAGAGAGACAAAAACCCCTCAGCATAAACACCACTGCTTGGATGCCTGGGATGGGATTGTTCACAGGGCTCCTCAGCTGGAACAAGGTACAGAACATAAACTGAGGTACCAAAATTCTTCCCCCAGGAAGTTTAAAATGCAAGAATTATCCAAAAATCCTTAGGTGAAAGAACTAAATAAACTATCAAGTTTTATGTTTGTAGAACAAAATTAACATGGAAAATGAATAGAATAAAACTTTCCTGAACATACCTGGATGACATTCAACAACTTTGTGTTTCCTATGTTCATTTGATCTTCTTTTCCCAGTTTTTTGAACATTTTTTTTCCAATCCCTGGATAAAATTGGTCATACTGTACAAGAAATTAATAGCTATCATCACTAATGGCTTCATGTTGTGCTAGGGGAAGTTTAGGTTGGATAGTAGGGAAAATTTCATGGAAAGGGACCTCAAGCACTGGAACAGGCTGCCCAGGGCAGTGGTGGAGTCACCAGCCCTGGAAGGGTTCAGAAAACACATGGATGTGATACCCATGGTGCTGAGTGGTGAACGTGCTGCACTGATGCTTGGACTTGACCTTAAAAGCTCTTTTCCAGCCTAAATCCCATGAATCTATGACTCAGGTGGCTTCCAGTTTGTCAGCATGACTTGTGAGGGTGACACAACCCAGCCCACCACATCCAGAGCCACCTGCACACGTCACCTCTCCAGCCACCTGCTGCCCAACCACACCTTTCTCCCCCAGTTTTCCCAAGAACTTCATGGCTGAGGAGATAAAAGTGGATGTGTGATGGGAAAGTGAAAATACACACAGGAAGTCATCTTTTTTCTGCTCTCATATGGGAGGAAAAAGAAAACACCATCAAGCCCCCAGGCAGTGTGCTTTGTCCAACCTCCTGACAGAGGCACAAGCAGAGCAATTCCAGCAGGTCCTGGATGTCACAAAATAAGGAAAAATTGTACAATGGGACTGAACAAAGCATGTCTGCTCACCTAGCAGCAGATGAATGAGCCTGGACAGAACCTCAGTTAAGGAATGAAAACAGGACACAGGGTAGACACCAATGTTCTATTTTTACAGGTAAGCAGGGAAAAGATGTAGCAATTTTGGCAAAATCCCAAGGAAACAAAGACCCTAAGGAAATACAGTCTCCCACTTCACAAACAAGATGTGGCTTTCCAGGCTGAAGGTATTTCCTCATGGTGTCAACATCAAATCCCCAAGATGGCTTGTCAGGAATGAAGATTTAAATTATCAAAGCAAATTGATAATTTAATATCTATCAAAGCACAATTTTCATTTCAAATTCCGGTTTTAATTTCCATCAATGCCAAAGTTGTGTAAGCTGAGCTCTGGAATGCAACAGCAGAAGGCCCAGCTAAACCCACAGTAGTCTGTCTTCTAAAATCACAATGAATTCTTGAGACAGAGCTAAAAAAAATAGATTTACACAGAAAAATTTCCCTACCTGATGACTTGTTAGAATGAAAATATTGTAATATCCTGGTAAGAAAACAAAAATGCAACCCCATTTCTTCAGGGCACTGGAGAAATGCTGCCCACAACTCCAAGAGGGAAGGAAAATAAATTATCTGAAAGTTAATTTATTTACTTTCCAATAATTTTACATGTTTGAGACTGCAACAATTTTTTATAAATCTCAGTCTTATTATTCCTTTCCACACTCAGCTTCAAGGCACACCTGCAGCTCAGAAGGAAGGAGGAGCCCAGGCTCCACCCTACAGCTGGTTCCTCAGATGGGACCCACATTTGCCACCTGCATTTTTCAGTGCCCTGCTCCACAAAATTCCAGCAAGAGACAGCAGCAGTGCACTCCCAGAGAGGAGTATTTCCAAGAGAACAAAACCCACAACGTAAGCAGCACAAAGGAGAACAAATAAACAATTGTAGGACCATGTTAAAAAAAAAGCTGAGCAAACTTTCTGCACACAATTCCAGCGATGTGAACAGGAGGAAAACAAGGGCAGGCTGTGCACCAGCACAATGCCAACCCAGAGCAAGGCCTTCAGCTTCAGCAATTTGTATTCACAGCACCAACTTTTGGGGGGGTTTGAGAAGACAGTTCCCCACATCTGTAAACTGAGGGTCTAGGGAAGCAGTGAGAAAATGGAGCAAAAATGTAAGGGACATGGTGTCCCAGCTGCTTCTGACAACCTTCATCCATTCCATCCACACAGCACGTGACACTGCCACTCCACTGCCACAGTCACTTCAGAGTCCAGGACAGGGGGTCAGAGGGGTGTTTCATCCAGGTCACAGCCATGGAAATCCTCAGCCTGCTGGCTCCTCATCCATCCTCTTTGCAAACAGACCTTCTCCTTCACTTCCTGCTGAAGGAAACACACCCAGACATGACAGGACCTGTTAGTGCACACGGGTACCACACACTGACTTCAACAAAAGAAGGGGTTTGTGGTTATTCATATGGGCTCTTCTATCTGACATTCAAACAAGCCAAGCCATTTCCAAAGAAATTAAATACATTCATTCCCAGAATTCTCAATCAGAGCTGTCTCAAAGCCAGCCTGCCAAAGCTCAAGAAACAAGAGATGTTTCCCTGAACAGAAATGTTTAGTGAAGCTCACTCGGCATTTTGCTTTGCCAGTTCCACTACAGCTGTGCATTTCCCCACACACTTTCATCTTTTTCTTTTAAATAATCGAATGCTCTTTGCCAAAAGACAAAACTGCCTGGTTGGCTTCATCAAACATGTGTGACACACACTTCAGCAGAAAACCAAGGGGAAGAGCCCCTTCTGAGAGACAGTATTCCTGAAACAAAAAAAAAACCAAACCACAAATCCCTCACCAGTGGCTGTTGCCAGTTCTTAAGCCCCATCTTGCCTCACCTGACATTGCAAAGAATCAGAAGGTTCTGGACAGCAGGAAGGGTGGAATTCTCGTTCTGTCCTGTCACCAGGTGCCTGTCCAGCACCACATGGACAGCATCTGGGCTGCTGGCTGAACACAGGAGGAAAAACACAGGGATTGCATTAGAGGACACGAGCTCAGTGCCAGGATCACACCACTGATAAAGCCAACACAACACATAACCATTTTGGCCAGACAGATTTGCTGGGTGCTGATCTATTACCCCAGCAGAGAGGGGCAGTCCCAAGCCCCTCATCCTGAAAAAATTTCCCTAGGAAATCCTTTTCTGAAAGGACAGGACTGGGTCCTTGATTCAGTTAACAGCAGGTGGGTAAAGTACACACATCAGGAGATTTTCATAATGAAAAACTCAAAGTATGTATTTGAAAGTTACAATTACCTCACAATACAATATAAGTTCATCTGATGCCAGACATGAACTGTGATCATCATGCTACAGAAATTAAATGTTAATTTTCTGGCCAATTACAACACCCCAGTGTGCTCAGATCTACCAGCAACTGCTCAGCATCCCAAAGAGAATTTTTATGTTTCCTCATTCCAGACAGACTCCCAGACTGGTTTGGGCTGGAAGAGATCCTAAAGCTCATCCAGTCCCATTTCCCTGCCACAGGCAGGGACACCTTCCATCACCCAATATTGCTCCAAGCCCTGTCCAAGCTGGCCTTGCAAATGACCAGTGACACACTGGTAAATGAGGGAATGGGAATGCCAGATGAGATCCTGCTCAGCTGATACAGCCAGCACACAAACACTCATTTCCCAAGGGAGACACAAAGTGCCCATCCCAGACACCAGGCATGACCTACCACTGAATGTGGCTCCAGAATCCTTCACAAAATCCTCCACAATAATGGACAGACTGGCAAAATTTGGCTGCCTCACCAGCTCGTACACAGAGGGCTGAAATAGATCAAAAGGAAATTAGTTTGGGTGGCTTTTGTACAGAAAAAGCCAAGCAACCCCAGCACATATTTCCCTGAAATTTGTATTTCTGTTCCCTCTACTATTCTCCCAGCCAAACGACCACAAGTAGCTTTGATGAATTTTGGGTAGGGAGCAAACTGGAAACTCTTAAGTGAGTTAAGCAAAGAGGAAATAACACCACCAAACAATTTCTGTAGGTGTGATTAACTTCAGGAGGGCACAGACCTGTCTGCCCATGGCACACAAATATTTGGACACAGATGCTGTGCCACCCGCAGAGTCCAAAACCAGTAATCCAAGTTGGAATGAAGATGGGAAAAACTTACAGACAGAAAATTTAGGAGCATTTAAGAGTTTTAATATGCAAAAGGAAGGAATTTAATTTTATGGTTTCCACACCAGCCATAGCTAGGCCACAACACGATTTGAAATATTTCATCATGGACTGTAACAATCCACAGAGAGTCATAAATAATTCTTAGCTGAAACAGAAGCATATGAGAACATCAATAGCTTTTGTGAGTCACAAAATCTTAATTTCTTAATTTTCCATGTAAATGTTCCACGCCAGAAAGCTGCACTAGGGCAATTTGCATCACTCTGACACTCTAGAATGGGCTGTGAGGCCAGAGGACACAAAATAAAGTATCAGCAGTACCTAAGTGGCTGCTTTAATTGCAAGCAGCTTGTACAAGCAGCCTTTTTTCCTAAAACTTCTTCTAACTTTTTTCCTAAGACTCCCTCTACCTTTTAAAAAGAAACAGCACTTTGAGAAATATAACTTAGCCCCAGCATTCATCAAAGAAACAAACAAAAACTTTTATAAGTCCTCAACAACAAATGCAAAGAGCTGCAGCAGGAATTTCCAGCTCTTTCTTTTTGCTTCAGTTTAAAGTTTACTGAACAATCAGAGGGAAAGCATTCCCCACATGCCACTTAAATGGGACAAACCCTTCCTGCACTCAGTGCTGGGCCCCTTGTCAAAGACACCTCTGAAATAACAACTCTGCACATCTTGCACAAGCCAAGGCACCAAACTGATAATTTTTATTTACAGGAAGTTCCTGGGTAAGACCAAAGCACCAGAAATCACACAGCAAAAAAAGCCCCCAAACAGCAAAAACAAGGTAAAAGCTTGACTTACCCCTGTCAGGCTGTATCCCTGGAAAACCCAGGATTTATCCTCATTGGTGGCACAACACAAAGCTGCCACTCCCTGTCCCACAGCACAGATAGGCTCTGGAAAAGAATTAAAGCACATTTGTGAGCATCTCCAAACACTTAAAACACAGGTGGGCGTGGTGAGCCTCATGCTGCCCTGCTGCAGTGAGGTTGTACTGCACTGAGAAAGCTCCTTTAGGCTGTAGGGGCTTTCTGCACGCTGCAGCAATTAGTGTCTCTCTTAAGAATTGCTACAATTATTTATTATTATTATTATTACTATTAGTACAATCAGAGGAAGAACAAGAATTGCAGATTTAATCTCCAAGTCCAGAGACAGCTCCACAAGTGCTCAAAAGTGGAGCACACCCAGAGTCTTGATTAACTGCAGCCTTAATGATGATCCTGAGCCTTGAATGCTGCTGATTTGGACAGAGCCATTTCTGTACCATTGTAAGGCAGCAAATCCTTCTTCTGAGACAAACTCTGAAAAGCTACTGGCATTGCTCCTTAAGATACTTTAAGACCTCTTTTTCCTTTTCAAGGCTCCCTTTTTCCACGTTAGGACACTTTTTTTGTTCCTTTTAGGACTCCCTTTTTAAGACATTTTAGGACACTTTTGTTTTCTTCCAAGTCTCCCTTTCCTTTTTTAAAGGCCCACTGAGACATTTGTTTCCCTCCTTGCCATCTCCTGTTTCCTTCCCAGTCTGGAATGCTCTTTAGCCATGCAAACACTCTGGAGTCTCTGGAAGGCCCAAGGCTCCTGCAGAGGCAGCACAGGAGCCTTGTCCCATCGACCCAGCCCCGAGGATGTTCACCTACTGCTCTCAGTGCTGAAGTGCTGCAGGATCTTGGCCAGGTAGCCGCTGTTGGCCAGGTCAGTCACGGCCCCAGGGCAGTTTGGGATCAGCAGGGCGTGGTACCGAGCCCCTGGGAGGGAGGAAAGCAGGAACTGATTGTGGGACAGGCAAAAAACACAAAAAGCCTGACCATAAACCCACTGCACATTTGGGAAAAAAGGACAAACCCATGTAAATCAGTTAAAAATTACCTAAAGAAACTAACAGAGTTACAAAGAAGAGATAAAAAGGTCCTTCTTAGGACAAGGAACACACATTTTTAATGAGCCAGGAAAAACTTACGACTGCTCTATCTGCTGGCTCCTGCTCTAGCAAAATATTTATTTTTAACAAGTAACAATGTAGTGTGTGCTTATTTACAACACAGACATTCTTTGTATACATTACATATACATTAAAAGAGAATGACCTTTCCAAAATAAATAACAAAACTGCAAAGCAGTTGCTTGGACTTCCTCCTAAATAAAAAGTAAACCAACAACTGCAGCTCTTGAAACACAACTTTCCTGCCTTTTCTGAGTCATTCTTCCCTAAAATCCTGCCCTGTTTCCCAGGCAGGCCCCTGGTGACACCCTTACCATCAATGGACTCCAGCTTGGCGGGGCTGGCGTAGGATTTCATGCGGAAGTCCTGGATCCAGCGCGCGTTGCCCTCGTTGACATCCACAAAATCAATGGGCTTCCCCTGGGGACAACATGTTTCCCATTTTTCCCACTGAATTAGCACTAATGGTTTTCCCTCCTCTCTTTGTGGGAACAGACAGTGGACAGAGAAGTCCAAATCCACGCTACAGAAAGGCTGCAGTCACTTTGGTATTAAAAAACCAGAATTAGGTCCCTTAATGTCTACAGACAGTAAAACACCTCTCAATATATTTATATTATATTAATTATATTATTTTTTTTTCATTACAACTGAGATACCAATTGGTTTCAGGCTGAAATCACAGCATTTGTCCATTTTCACTCACCCCAGGTGTTGCCACTTGCAGGTTAAAGGCAGAGCTGGCCAGAGTAAAGCAGTGAAGGAAGGACTGGGCTGAAACACCTGGAAAACAGATTCCAACACCTTAGGGAAACAACAGTGATGGTTCAATGCAGGGTTACACTTTATCCAGCAAAGTACAAAAGCTTGGGTGTTTGCTCATCTTCAAGGCTCTAGATAATTTCAGGGGATTATTTTGTTATGATTTAATGATTTTAAGACATCAGAAATGTGCAGCCTTCATTACAGGTGAGCTGTGTGCTGGGGAACAGAATCCTGGAATGATTTGGGTTGGGAGTGACCTTAAAGCCCATCTTGTACCAACCCTTTGCCATGGGCAGGGACACCTTCCACTGCCCCAGGCTGCCCCAAGCCCTGTCCAAACTAGCCTTGAACACTTCCAGGGATGGAGCAGCCACAGCTCCCCTGAGCAACCTCCACCAGGGCCCCAGCATGCTCAAAGGCAAAGATTCTTCCGCCAAGCACCCAATCTGAGCCGGCCTTCCTTCCCCTCAAAGCCGCCAAAGCCGCAGGCACAGGAGCCAAGCAGCACAGCTGCGCATGGCGCCCACACCTGCGGCTGTGCACGTACGGGAAAGCGGCACCGCTGCGCAGGGAGGGCACACCTGCGGCTGCACGGCCCGGCTGCAGCGCGGCACCCACACCGGGGACAGCCACACCGGGGGCAGCCACACCGGGGACAGCCACACCGGGGACAGCCACACGCGGGACACGCCGCGACAGCCGCACCGGGGACCGCCCAGCCCAGCCCCGCCCCGCCCCGCCCGCCGCGGCGCCGGGAAGGGACGGGGAGCGCTGGAGCGGCGGCTCCCCCCGAGCCGGCGGGGCTCCCCCCGAGAGGGTCTCACCCGCGGTGGCGGCGCTGGCGACGATGAGGCAGGAGGGCTTGGCCAGCCGCTCCGACATGGCGGCGCCGGCGCCTGAGGGCAGCGGCGGAGCCGGGCGCGGCCGCGCGTGCGCAGTGCGGGGAGCGCCGAGGGGCGGGGAGAGCGCGGGGAGCGCTGAGGGAGGAGGAAAAGCGCGGGAAGCGCTGAGGGAGCGCTGCCGCCGCCGGGAGCCTTGACAGCCCTCGGGTGTCCCGAGAGTCCCCTGGTGCCACCTCCCATCGGCAGCTGGCGTTGTTTCCTTGTTTCCCCACCTTCGTAAACCTCAGCGTCCCATTTCTGGATTTGCATCTGCCATCCCTGTGTGAGTGTAATAGGTTTAGCGCTTGCTGGCTGCTGGTGTGTTGCAGACACAACGCCGCTGTAAAATGAAAGGTGTAAAATAAAGACAGCACAATTCTGCTATTGCCTTTATTTGTTTATTTGAAAGGGCTTAGTTTCTAGCCTGGTTTCCTAAAGGTAAGGTTGCTTATGCCACCTTGTCTGTCTCAAACTGTGTTCCGAATCCACAGGCTGGTTAATCTGGATGTTCTTCACTGCTCCAGCTTAGATACCAGAAAATTATTTTTTAAAAGGGGATGTTTTTTTCTCTATTCACTGTTCAGTTTCGCTGTTGTGTGGGGTACTTGGGGATTTAGTGCCACTCCAGCAGCCTAAGCCTTTGTGTCACAGAGCATCACGTTTATGGTCCTTATTCCCTGCTTGTGACTCCAGTGCTTTTTAAACAAACACGAGGGACAGTGCTGTCCAACCCCTGCTCCATCAGCTCTTCCCATCCTCCCTGCACTGCCCCAGGTATGTGGAATTGCACACACCCTGACTGGGGCCAAGTGGGAGGTTCAGGCCCCCATCCATCCATCCATCCATCCATCCATCCATCCATCCATCCATCCATCCATCCATCCATCCATCCATCCATCCCAGCCTCTCAGCTCCAGCATTCCCACTCAGAAAACAGGAATTTATTTGATCTCCTGCTCATGTCAAGACAAACTAAAACTCGAGTCCCCAGCTGTGTTTCTGCAGCAAAGCCCTCAGATGATTACACTTTTGCAGCTGAAGGATGCCCTTTTCCCTGACCCTGTGGAATTTACAGGATTTTTCTGCCCAGTTCTTAAGAAATTAATTTCCAGCAGCCTGCAGAGTTCTGCCGGGACCCGGATTGGAGCTGGTGTAATACAACATCAAGCCTGTGCTCTGACACGTGCTGCCAAAACCCTCCTCCCCTCCGAGAGCCTGGAGGGAACCCGTGCACAGGGACCCCAGAGACACCACCCAGTGCTCAGGGAATGGTTTGGTTGGGAGGTGTTCCCAAGCCATCTCAGAAACAAAACCAGAAAATCAGCAGGAGAAATTTGACAGGAGAAAGGTCACGGCAAAGAACTGGGGGTGAAAGCTGGAGACCAGCCTGTGGGATAGGGAATTTCTTGGACCAGAAATGTTTCCCCTGTGTCTCTGGGTAAATCTACTATTCAGTTTAGTTCCTATCTGGAAAAAAACATAATCATCCTGCTTTCCCTGGGCAGCCTGGAGTTTATTTGGGGCAGGCACTGCCTTTTCTCACAGCTCTCAGTGGGATCACCTAGAAAACATTGGGCCTTCAGGAAACACAGAAATACAGAAGAATCTCACACAGAATCCAGGAATCATAGAATGGTTTGGGTTGGAATGGGACTTAAAGCTCACCTCGTTCCACCTCTCCCATGGGCAGGGACACCTTCCACCATCCCAGGTTGCTCCAAGCCCCCTCCACCCTGGCCTTGGAGGTGTCCAGGGATGGGGCAGGAAAAATTTTCTCCAGACAATCTCCAGAGGGGGCACAGCAGGTTCCACTCGCACCCCCAGGTACACAAAGATGCTCACGGGAGGAATTATACAATCTCTCTAAGTGTGTGTATATATATCTATATATAGTTTATTTCTCACAATCCTGGTAAGAGTTACAGGTGTATTTGGGAATCATTTACAGTTTCACAGCATATGGAGTGGCCATACAGCTTGTGATGTGAGTAACATACAGTGTGTAGAGAGCACACGATTCCGACCCATCCACCCACCACTCACACAATGGGTTTCCAAAGCTAATACTAGATTCAGCTACGGAGAAAGCCTGGAAAATGTCAGGGTACAGCGTTGGGTGTCGTACAACACTGTCAGTCACAATGGGACAAGCTAAACTACTTTAAATTTTCAATCTAGTATTTCTAGTCTACCTGCATTATTGCATTTATACGCTTTTTTTGTTTTCAAAGTCAAAGTAAATAGAATACTATATGGGAAAGGAAAAAATTCTTGACTATTTTAGGATTTGAGCTGCAGCCCATACAAAGTGTCCATAGAAGCATAGACAAGATTATAAATTCAACAAGGTATAAATTAGCTGGATAGCTTTGTGTGTAGGTAGGTGTCCATTTCCCTCCAGGAAATGTGTCTAGCAGCATATTGTTTCTGAGAGAAAAAAAAAAACAAAACCCCAAACCTGTATGTTGAACACAGGTAAAGATGTGTAAGTGACAAGCAGGTCTGGTTGCACAGGGAAAAAATCAAGGTGTCACTTGGAAAATTCCTATAGTTTGGAAAACACACTCAGGAGCTGACTCAAAACCCACAGAGTCATTGGAAAGGTGCCTGAGGCTTCCAAAGGAACAACAGGCATTTCAGTCTGACTTCCAAGGGCTTTGGATCAGTCCCTGGAGAAGTAACAGAATCCAAACAAACCAAAACCAAAATAAAAATCCCCTGTAATCTGACCTTCAATTTCCCTTCCTAAAATTTTAGTTCCTCCACAAACTGATAGCCAACCTGCACCTACCACTGGAAGAGAGTGGTTTCCTGGGGAGGTGAAACTGCAACTTTTAGAGGCTTCAGTTGAAACAGTCCTGGGAAAAGGCACCAGGGTTATGAAGGGCTGCTCAAAACTCAGTAAAGCCAAATTATTCCCATGTTGGTTGGTTGGTTTTTAACCAAAAAAAATTGTGTGGCACCCTTGTTCTCATCAGCTTGCCCCAGAAGCTTGGCTGCTTGAATCAGCCGTGGCAGAACCAGGGATATGATGCAGGACATGACTTTGGAAAGGTGATTAAAGATTCCTTTTTTCTTAGTGGGAGCTTTGGTGCTGCAGCACCATCACACAGACAGAAAGAACCGGAATGGTCATGCTTGGGATGCTGCACTTGGGCTGAGAAATGGAAAAGTGATGGAACTGTTTGAGAATTGCAAGCTGGGAACAACAAGAAGAGAAATGGGAACGGCCAGTCCAAAGCCTGTTTAACCCAAATTATGCTTTTCAGCAGAAAAAAAATCTATTTAATTTGAAGAGCATCAAAGAGCAGAGGGCACAAGTCCCAGAGTGCTGCATATCCGAGCACACACTGTCCAGAGGCGTGAGCAGAGCTGTAGCACAAGGTAGATCCAAACTCATGAATTTGGAAAGCCCAAGGCTCTGATCTCTCACAGGATTTTGAGGCCTGTTATGGTCAATTGAATGAAATGTGAATTTTAGAGGCCTGGACATCCCACAGTTCTCTATCACCCAGTGACATCTGATCAGCTCATAGAGATGAGACAATCCTTGCACTTCCTGCACCCTCACCCCAGGCACAACAGCTGATCCTTCCAGGCCAGCAGCAGTACAGGTCCTCCACTTCAAAACTTCTCTTTCCCCTCTGTTTTTGGTGCTCCAGAGGGCTGAGGGTGCTCTGGCTGCAGCCAGGTGCGGTGTGTGCTCACACCATGTCAGCCCCCCTCAAGCAGCCAGAACATCTCACACCTGAGTGACAGGGAAGGACAACAGGACCTTCCTGGGGACTTGTCATCCATCACAAATCTTGTGGCAGATGAGCACTCAGCCTCTTGCAGACTTAGACCCTCAAAGGTGAGGGCAGATCAAAGCTCCACACGTTCCCTGCTGTGACACACAGTCTGGGGGCCCAGCACTGCCTGTGTTTTTGGGGGACCACCCAAAACCTGCCTTAGACAACCCAAAATCTGCCCCAGCCTCGGGCTATGGAAAGGCCACATCTGCAGAGCTGCCCAGGAAGATAGTAGGGAAAGAAAAGGGAATACAGTGCAGTGGCCAAAGAAGGAAGAAAGAACAAGCAATGAATCAGATCAGAAACCAATGGAACCCCATGGTTTGTAGCAGCTGAAGATCTGGTGTGAAGAGACATCCCAGGAATTAGGGAATTTAAAAGGAAAGCAGGTTATAGGGCTGGACTGATGGTCTCAAAAAGAAGAGGAAGAAGTCATCATAAACCCACTTGATTCAGTGGATTAAACCCCCTTTGAGGGTTGCTGGATGGGGGCAGAGGCTCCAAGGCTTTTTGGGGCTGTCAGCCAAGTGTCACTCATAAGACCCAAAATGTGCCAACAAATCCTCAGCATCAGCAGATTTCTCCCCAAAAGATTAAAGGACCAAACACCTCCAGTGTAAATAGCAGAAATACTCCCAATTCCAGTGCCCTGCAGTGAGAATTTACTGGAATACAGAACTCTTATGCTCCAATCAAAGCCAACTCCTCTTTGTGGTGGGAAGTTCCCAACCTGTGCAGCAGAACTGCAGCCAGCTCATGAATGAGATGTGATGCTGCAGGGCCTGGGAAGGGAATCAGCATTCCTGCTCCAGCACGGAGGATGGAGCAGGAGGATGGAAGTGCAAGCAGGCTGCATTTGCAGTCCTCGTCATAACGTGAAAAGAGAACACAGCCCCTCCTGATGTCCTGGCAATTCCCCTGAATCATGCAAAGTTGGTTATAGAAAACTTCAGGTATTTTTCTAACCCTTTAACATTGCTCAGAGCCAGCAGGAATTCATCTGGAAAAGGCAATTAGCAGAGGTTAATTTGCAGGGCACCAGAGCTCGTAATTTTTGCCTTTTTCTGAGGAAAAAAAAAAAGGGGGGGTGGGGGGAAAGAGGATATAAAAGTTAGCATGTCCTTACCAAAGCTATTAAGATAATTAAATAGTGGTTTTTCTCTCCAGTTCTCTGCTCTGTTCCTTTCAGCCTCTCAGAATCTTCACCAACTTGAAACTTTCCATGGAGCTGATTGAAATTCCAAGAATTCCACCTTTCAAACATA